TCTGGCATCCCGGGAGCCCGAGGTACCCGCCTCGCAAACTGATCCAATCAATAAAGAATTTGGAGAGCGGAGCATTTCTGCATGTCTTTGTGCATTAAATGAAAGGCAACGGCTTCAAAGACATGCTTATTAAATGTGCCTTAAAAAGAAATCAATGCCAGATGTGACCAAAGCAGCCTAGTTAGTGCCTCCCCGTAACACACACGCTACTCCGGGCACTGCGGCCCTCTTCCCTGAAGGTCACCCGCAGTTTCACTCAAAGTCCAGCCAAAAGTCAAAGCTTAGATCAAAATGATTCCCTGGAGGTACACACATTTGTGTAATTAGTTTCACCTTGTGTCTGTGCAAGATAAAATACTGGGCACGTACCCAAGTTCCTTTTATAAATTTCTGTATTGTCTTTACCCAGGTGTAAAGGGGTGAGATCTAAGCAAAACCTTGTTTCATCCTTGTCAGTCACTTAAAAACATTTTCTAAAGTAATTACAGTCTGACAAGGCACAAATAATTGCACCTGGAGGGGCTTTTGGGCCACAGAGGTTTTAGTAGCCTATTCCTGCACTTGGGCATCACACAAAAAATGTCATCAAAAACAAACAAACAACAAAAAAAAAAGGATTTTTTTTTCCTGGGTGGGGGGGTTGCTACAGACCCACTGGAGCAGTGGCAGACCAGTGGTGAGGCCAGGGAAACTGCTCTGCAACTGGGGCATGAGGCTGCATCAGCTGGAGGAGGAGCACAGCGGGCTGGGAGAGGCTTTGGGGGCTGCACAATGGTGCAGTGGTGGCAAGAAGCTCCTGGAGGGTGTCCAGGTTGGGTGGACTTGCAGGTTGCTGCCATCTGATGGCAGCTGGGCGGGCTGCAAAGATGGGTTTTGGGGAGAAGGATTGGCTGTGTTTCAGCCCCAGCCCCCAGCTTGGCATCCCCCAGCCTGAGCAAGCCCTTAGGTGACCAACTTCTGACCAGTGTAGGTGGCCCTTCCAAAGCCAGTGATGGAGCACCAGCTGGGAAGTCCTCATACCAAACCCAAATGACCATTTAGAGGTTAAAGCAGAGGCTGCCAGTTGCAGGGCAAGCCTTCTGGCTCTCTGAAGCACCCCCACATTCAGAGCAAATTCAAACCTTAAAGCTGGAACCTCCTTCTCCTGCTCACCCTGTAGAATTGGCCAACGGATGGTCCCACTAGTGCCCAGATCCACTGGGAAAGGACAGCAAAAAAATAGCCAATGCGAAGGTATTGCCATGGGAACTAGAAGAGGAGGGGCAGCAGCAAACTGGTTAAACTGGGAGCTGGGCCCTGGAAACCAGACAGGCAGGGTTTGTTGGTGCTTCTGAGGAGGAACTCGGTATCACTGGCAGAGCTTCCCCTGCAGGGCAGAGGGTTTTTTTCCCCCTAATGAAGAGAAAAGCGAGCTCCCTGCACCTCAGCTACACGTCCACGCGGATGCAACATCCCAACCTTTCACTGCCCGCACTTGTGGCCACACCATTGCGAAACAACAACTAATTAAAAAAATGAAAAAAATGAAATGAGCAGGCAAAAAAGGAGGCCAGCACCAAGATGAATGCTGACCCGTTTGGAAACCCAACTCCATGCCTTCGCCGCAAGGCCATCCCAGCTTTTCCTGGTATTCAAGTTTTTTGGACAAGGGTTGGAGCACGAAGCCTGCCAGCCTTCGTCCTTATGCAACTGGGGGAGGAGGCTGGGGAGGAGGTGGCCCTGCAGCCAAGCCCCAGCTCAAAGGCCCCTTTCTCCATCTCCAAGTTGCTCTTGGTTCAAGGGGGAAGAGAAGAAGATCTACAGCCTCTGAAACACGAGGTAAATGTGTCATTGCGGGTAGACCTGCAAAATACCTGCTGATTCTTTTGACTTAGAATATAGACTTAGATATTCTTTTGAATACATACTAAAGACCAAACGAATCACGGAGTCTTACCTGTAATTTCCCTTTTTGCTCAGCTGTTCTTTAAAGTGCCCGAGTGTCAGGCTCTGGGCCTTTAACATCCTCCTGTAGGGAATTTCTTCTCCGCAAAAAAAATAGGTGACAACCAACTCGCTCGACTGAGAGGTGTGAACAACTGGCAGTTTCTTTGGCTCTTTGTGACTGGAAAACAGAAAACACACATAAAACCCCTTTATTTTTCCATCTGAGAACAGGCCGTGTCACCGTGTTCAATCCAGCAGCGTTTCTGGTCAGGAATATCCCGGGTGTGACCCAAAACGTCAGCCATTCCTGCAGGCGCCGTGAGCTCGGCATGCTGCCTTTGCACAGCCCTTCGCTCGGCTCCCACGGCATTCCCGCTCGGGAATGGCAGCACGGTGAAGCGGCCGGCTACGGGCAGCAGAGACCTTGTTACTGGTGTATAGCTGGGAGAACTGGGGGGTGGGGGTTAGATGCTTGCTGGAAGCATCGGAGCCGGACGGCGGGCCGGGTGAGCGTGCGTTGGGCTCGCCATGGGCGAACCTCTACCCAACGAGCCCCAACACTGTACGTCGCTGATTTTAAAAGGCTTGTTTCATCTGCCTTCATACAAAGCGTCCACCGAGCTTTCTTCCCACGCACAAACCCACCAACAGCTCACGAAGCAAACCCACCGCCAGGTTCTTCACCTGAAGTACACAGGTAATCTTATTTTTTTCCCGGCGAGGATAAAATTAACTGGCTCTTGCCATTTGCACTAAGAAACCCTTCTTAAAGAATAATTAAAACAATATTACCCGGCAAAATGGCAACGCTCTAGTGAATACCATGCAGCCAAATCTACGACTGCTTCTGAGGCAATGTACACTTGGCATGTCAAAAGGTCACAAAGTGTTAGTCCGCAGTAATTTAGTCTTCCTAATTTGTTCTAAGTCTTTGTAGAGTGGCTTCAGAAAAAAAGCTGCTAGCAAAGACAGCTGGTGGACTTAAGGTCAACCAATTAAAAATGAAAGGCTCTAGTCAGGTGGCTCAGTCTGGACTTCAAACATTACTCATTGCTTAAGATGAAGAGGGTTAGAAAGAAAACTTTAATTATTTAGGCCATTTTAGACCTCTCTGTAGCAGATTTCTTGTTAAAAGAACCATCCTGTAATTAGACTAATCCAATCTTTGTCCACTTTACAGGAATGCAAGTTAAAAAGAGCCAGAGACAAGATTTGAAAATGTTTTGTTCTTTCTTTAAGAAGAAGGTTTGAAAGACGAAATTTCAGATAGAAGAATTTCCTCTCTTTTCAAAGCGCAATCCATTTAATGAAAATATAATTATTATATATATACATTTCCCAATCCTTTTATGCGCATGCAATACTCACTCTTCTGTCGTTAGACTTGCATTGCAGAAAGGGGTGTTTCCCCCCGGAATGGCAGCGGAGTGGTTTCGATCCCTCTGCTGATTTGAGGTTGAACATCTGAAGTGGAGAGGGGGAGGGCAAGTGGGGAAGAAGGGGGAGGGAAAAAAACCAAAAGAGAGGAAAAAAAAAAAAAAACACAACAACTTTTAAAAAAAATCATCGAAATACAGTCTTCTTAATTGAAGTCTCCTGTGGGTCGTTAAGTTCGCTCTTTGTATCAACCCTCACATGTTGTAAACAATCAAAGGAAGAATTACAAATGCTGTGGGCTAATTTATCCTTCCATACCCAAATGAACGATAACCAGTCCAATTCCCCACTTGGTATGTAGCTGGAGTCCGTCCCAGAGGAAAAATGGGCAAATTACAGCCATCAAAAGAGTGGAAGTAATAGTCTAGGATTCAAACTATTTGCCGGGGTAGGGTGGGGTTGGAATAAGGAGGCTCATCCTTGGGGCTCGGCCAAGCCGCGCCGTCACGCGTCCCCACGGCTGACCATCTACCTAGACGGGGAGGACACCGTCCACGTTCACCCCCCGCCTTGCCCGCCATCAGCCCGAGCGTTGGCTGAAGACGAGCCCGCCCAGCACCCAGCAAACCCCCTCCTACCCCCGCTGCTCCCCGAACCCCACCGCGGGACCAGGACCGTCCCTCCCGCGACCGTTACCGTTGCTTCTGCGGCTTGGGGAACCCGGCCAGCCCGCCGGCCGCCTCCACGCTTTGTGTGCTTGGGGAGGGGAAGAAGTCGGGTTAGAAAAGCTGGAAAATATGACTTTAATAGCAGCTCCTATTCTGCTCGCTCCCTCTCAAAAGTCTGTCATAACATGAAAGGAGGTTTATTGCCAAAAACATGACATTTTTGTGGTTTTTCTGGTTCTGCGGAACAGCTTTTATATTAAACCGGAGGAGCAAAGAGTCTCATTTGTTTTTAGCGATTGTAAAAATAGACAGCCCATGTAATATATAAATATTTACCGGGAGCGATATTGCTGTAGACAGCTGCGTATTTACCTATGGGGCTTGTGCTTATTTTGCCTCTCGCTCTCCAGCATCCACTGCCAGACGTTCTGCGCCCGGTCCGCCTCGCCCCCGGGGCGCTGCCCCC